TTCAGGAAACTTGTCACAGATCAATTAAGGCCTTTGCTAAACAGCAGATTTAATTAATGGACCTGTCATCAATTTCCATGGCATTTTAGTCATGGCTCTGACAGGAGGCTTTTATGAAGCTCATCTGAGTGGACAACCTGACTGCTAGTTGTAAACTCAGGGGGGTTTCTAAAGTGAAAAAGGAGTGATATACATACCTACACATACATACATATATTTGTAAATTATTGAACTAAATTCAACAGTGGTCAGACTTCATATGCTCCAGGATAGCTTTCAGCCAGTTAGATGGTAATTAGAGTTTCTAAAATGCCGTTTAAATTTTCTAAAAGGCTTTTGTCCCACCAATCCAGGTGTCTCAGTGTAAAACTGGACTGGCCATGTGGAATATTTGCTCTGGAGAACACTAAAAATTGATTTCAATGAGTTATTTATTAGCTTGGTCTGTCTTTATTATCCTCTCAGGTGATAAGAATAGAAAACTTTTTAAAAGTCCATTGAAGAACAATTTTAAAGATGTGCTTTGATTTCCAAATGGAGGTCACATACCAGGAAGTTCAACAGGAAAAACCTTCCCCTATATTTCTAACGGGTTTTACCTGGTGAATTGCTCTCCTCATCAGGTAAATACTAAAGGCAGAAACATTCAGTTAGAAGTCTGTGTCGGCTGTGGGACACATCATTATATATGCACTGGGGGGATAACGGTTGGTCTAATGACCAATAATTTAGGATTTTAACTTGTGGGTGATGCTGAAATGCCCCAAAAGGCGAGAATCCATGCCAATTGTAAAAGAACCCCACAAAAATCTCTGTAACTGCAAGGAAAGATCACAATGCTCAAGTGAATAGAAAATCCCCAAAGGAGAAAAGCATGTGGGAGTTAAGGAAAAAAGCAGTGGAGGGAGATCTCTCAATGTCTAAACCAGTGTTTTTCAACCTTGGGCACTTGAAGATGGGTGGACTTCAACTCCCAGAATTCCCCAACCTTTTTACAAAGGTTGAGAGTTTAATGACAACCATGGAAGGCAAAATTTCATTTTATTTTGTATAAAAAAAAAAAAAAAAAACTGTACCTTTGAAGACAAGCTAGTCTACCCATGGTGTAAATATTTGTGGGCCCTGAACTTTATGTTGCAGTAAACAGTATAAAAGGTTTTATCAAAAAGCATACAATGATTTATTTTCAAAAACATCAATTGATGGATTGATTATGTGCCATCAAGTCAGTGTTGACTCTTAGCAACCACACAGATAGGTTTTCTCCATGACGATCTGTCCCCAACCTGGTCCTTCAGGACTTCCAACTGTGAAGAAAGGAAATCAATGATCATTAGAGCGCATATGTGTCAAAGAAACAGCAGAACATTTGCAACCTTGCTTTTAGGCACAGGGTGGGGAGCTAAGGCCAAGTTATGATAAACTTAGCCTTAAAACATGGAAAGCGCATTTACTTGACTGTTATGTGACCCCCTTAGAAGTGTCTTAGATTTACTCTCAAGCAAACATAGATCTACAGTATGGCACCAGAAACCTGTCAGATTTATTCAAACAAAAATGCCACTGAATTCAAGAGGGCTTCAGGCTAGGTTGCAGCTTTTGTACTTCTATGGCTATAAACTTAACCATGCATAGAAGAGATTAGACCCAATATGTGACTATCTTCTGAATTAACAAGTCTATGATTATACTCTAAGCCAGTGTTTTTCGAGCTTGGCAAGTTTAAGATGGGTGGACTTCAACTCCCAGAATTCCCCAGCCAGCATGCTTGGCTGGGGAATTCTGGGAGTTGAATCCAGCCATCTTAAACTTGCCAAGCTTGAAAAACACTGTTCTAAGCTGGTTCAACCCTTGCCCGTGCTGAAAATTACTGCGTAGCTACTGCCTTGCCAGAATTTCCCAGTTCAGAGTATCTGATTTATTGCATTTCTAGTTGGCCATTTATCTGAAAGCTCGGTGGAATGTAGGTGGGAGCGTCTCTACTTTGATCCACCAAACAACCTGAGAAGGATCAGGCAGAAAGAAATAATCAGTCTGACAAGACCACCTGAGCCTCCAAGTTTGAGAATGGACTTGAACCCAGTCCAACCTTTTAAGCTTTAAAAACGGTACTGCTGTTTCCTGGTTTCATTAGAAATTTGTTGCCGAAAGCAACAAGGAGGATCTTTGTATACCTCGTAAGTATCTGCAGAACAATCACGTGCAATAAGATGAAGACATCTTTTCATTCAACTAGGAATTCCTGTGAGAATCCCCAGGACACACTTACCATCAGTACTGGGATAAGGTGCTGCATCGAATTCAGGGTTTACCCAAGATATTACAGGTAGTCCTCACTTAACAACTGTAATTGGGACCAGGAACTCCATCAGTAAGCAACGCAGTTGTAAAGGTCGATGTCACATGACCACACCAACTTACAATGGCTGTTCTGGTTGCCATCATTAGGTGAACCTGCAGAGTCATTAAGCACGATGTCACGTAGATGGCCATTTGCAACCTCCTTCCGCCTTTCCCCTCGACTTTGTTTGTTGGAAGCCAGCAGGGAAGGTCGCAAATGGTAATCATGTGACTGCAGGATGCTGCACCGTCATAATTGTGAGCTGGTCGCCAAGCGCCCAAATCACAATCATGTGACCGTGGGGATGCTGTGATGGCTGCAACGAGGACTGGTCATAAGTCTCCTTCAGCGCCGTCATAACTTTGGTCACTGAATGAGTGGTTGTTAAGCAAGGACTACCTGTACAGCCTAAAATATAGACAAATTGCCACACCCCTTCCATTCCAAGTACAGATACCAGCTGGGCCAGAAGCTGAAGCTTATTTGAAAGTTCTGTTCTTCTAGAACCCTTAACCCAGTCTGCCCCTTACCCAGTCAAACATCCTAACTAGTGTTTCTGATCGTATACCATCGCACTAATTGGGTCAAATCTCAGTTTAGGGAACACAGTCCCTACTGTCAACCCTCCTTCCTCCCCAAGACACACACATACGCTTTTTTCTGGAAGTGCCTAGTATCGTACTTGAGCCCTTGCACAAGAGTACCGGGAAGGTTGCACGACATCACAAGCCCCAGAAGCAGGCACAGCTTGGCCTCCAGAGCAAATCCTCTATTTATAGACGTGTTCTGGACTATTAGGCCTTGACAGTGAGTTCTGTAACAAGGAGGGAGGGTTGCTTTTTCAGGCGGCTTCCTCTCCAGCTCTATTTCTGGGAACACCCGATAGGCAAAATGAGGCAGCCCACCGGATTCACAATTCCAGCGGCAGGATTAGGAAACGGCTGAACTCTCCAGATCTGTTCTGGACTCAACTGAGTCCTGCTGGATGCCGACTGGGACAGCAGATCCCTTTCTGGCATTCCCACAACACCCTGGCTCCCCCCAGCCCAGTTAAACACACTTATTTAACACGTTTATGTATCTCCAGAATCAAGACTCTCAGAGGGGTACACAGAATATGGTTTTTTACAACAGATTCGGTGCCATCGCGTTGCTGTCGACTCCGAGTGACCACACGGCTTTTCTCCGGGCAGTCCGTCCTGGTCCTTCAGGCCTTCCATCGGCTTCAATCCAGGATCGCCGCAGTCCGAGGACCGCACGGTCCGCCCTGCATTTCCATGAAATTGGGGAAGTGCGTTGTTGTCAGTTCTACATCACTGCCAGCCGATGTTCCTGAACATAAAGATTCGTGGGGAAAGAATTTCCATCGGAGAACCAGTCTTTCGGGGCTGGAAAGACAGATTCGTATACTTGTGAGCCAGAGTTCCTTTTTTCGCAGTAGTTTTTGTCCCTTTTTTGGTAGTCTGTATCTTTTTTTTTTGGTAGCTTTTGTCCTCCTTTGGTAGTTTTTGTCCTTTTCGGGCCAAGGCAGTTGGAGAGCTGGTGGGCCCTCCTCGGCCCGCCCGGGGGCCCCAGCTTCGCCCGGCCGTCCGCGGCGCCCCCCGGTG